ACTTTTTCTACGTAAAGTGGAAACCATACTGCATAAGCGCTGCCGTCTCATTCTACAGTATTCTCAATCTTACTAATTTTATCAGAATTTTTATGTTTTGTAGGTCGCATTCGTACACGATGGAAAGCACGTCCGCGCAAAACAACAATGATTCATGGAATCCAGAGTCGCGCCCTCGTGCTTTTACTTGTCCAGACCAGTACATACGTCCGCACGGTAGCATCAGTAGCGGTGAACAAAGTACTGCTCCAGGTGCCGCAGCATCTGAAGCTGAAGCGGTGTTTGTTACAAGTCCGAGTGCAGTGGTGGCGCAGCAGCTGGAATCTCGACTCAATGTAGCAGAACCGGAAGTGGACAGCTGCTACAATAGTGCAGAAATTTTGGCGGACAATTCCGTCCAGCAAATGGTACAACAAATTGCGCCAAACAAATCGATTCAGAATGTGGCTCAAATTGCGCCGAACTGTTCCAACCTGAGTGTGGTTCAAGTGCCGCCGAGCGATGCCATCCAGAAACTGACTCCAGTCATACCCAATGGTTCCAGCCAGAATATGTTTCAGGTTGCGCCAGGCGGTTCCATCCAAAATACTACTCAAATTGTGCCCAGCGACTCTGGCCAGGGCTTGGCGTTAATTGTGCCGAATGGTTCCAGTCAGAATTTAGTTCATCCGGGAGCTCCTGTCCAGGATCTAGCCAAAATTATGTCCAACAGTTCTGGTCAGAATGTTCAAGTTACGCCGAGTGGTTCCATCCAGAATACAACTCAAATTATGCCCAGCGGTTCAAACCAGGGCTTTGCCAATGATTCTAGCCAAAATGTGATTCAGTCGGGAGCCCTAGCTCAAATTGTGCCCAATGGTTCCAGCCAAAATGTTCTTCAAGTTACACCGAACGGTTCCACCCAGGTCCAAATTGTGTCAGGCGGCTCCAGCCAAGAAGTGGCTTTAATTGTGCCCAATGATTCCAGTCAGAATGTGGTTCAGCCGGGAACTCTGACTCAGAATCTGGCTCAAATTATGCCCAGTGGTTCCGGCCATAATATTGTTCAGGTCACGCCGGATGGTTCCATCCAGAATACGACTCAAATTGTGTCCAACGGCTCCAGTCAGGGAGTGGCTTTAATTGTGCCCAATGATCCCAACCAAAATATGGTTCAGGTTGCGCCAGCCGGACCGATTCAGAATACGGCTCGAATTATGCCCAATGGTTTTAATCAAAATGTGGTTCAAGTTGCACAAGATGGTCCCATCCAGAATGTGGCCGAAACTGTGTCCAGTGGTTCCAACCAAAATGTGGCTCAGGTTGCGCCGAGTGCTCCCGTCCAAAATGTGGCCCAAATTGTACCCAGAAATTCCACTTGGGATGCGGCTCAATTTGCATCTGGCGGCCCCACCCAGACTGTAACTCGAATTATGCCTAATATCTCTAGCCAAGATGTGATGCAAACTCCGCTCGATGCTGCCAGCCAGAAGATGATGAAATTTTGCCCCCAGCGGTCGTGCCAGGATTTGATGCAAATTAAGCCGGGCAACGACACGTTTCATCGGCCGACTTCTGTCCGATCGCGAAGCAACAGTATCCCAGATTCGGGACAAACTAAAGTTTTTCTTCGCACTGTAAGCTCGCTAAACCAGCAACCGAATGTTGCCAATCAGACACAGTTACTGCCAGTCGCAATGCAGCCTCCTCCTCTACCCGTTGCTTCATCGACATCAAATACTCGGGCCACTGCAGCAAGAACTGCTTGCTGCTTACCGTCCACTCCGGATGTGAAATTACGGCGAGGGGCATCACGTGTGAGAGCGGTTCAAGGCCTGGCAAAAGCCAGCAGCGACTCGTCGTCTGGCCCTCTGGCGCAGCCTGGGAACGTAGGTTCCATGCAGAATTTGACGCCAGTCGATTCGAAGCTTGCTTCCTTTTTTGAAAGCTCAGTGCAGAGTAGCAACAGTGACTCGACGTATAGTTTAGCGCAGTTGACACCGGTAGATCTACGGGTTCTTTCTACTGAAAGTTTACCAGCAAACCACAGTGACTACAGCAACTCTGCAGACGACTTCCAAATCCCTCGAGCCGGCACATATCCGGAGACGAATTTACGGCCTTATAGACACCCCACTGCGGTGCCCGCTCAGCAAGTCACCGATCCGCAGCGTGCTGCCGGAACATCAGGAGCACCTGTTGTTCCCGCTCAGAATCTGACTGTCACACGTTATGCTCCAGCGAGCGCCACGAGATCGTCAAATACTAGAGAAGCGTCTGGAGCTTTTAAGGAAAAAAATCCTCGGAAACCGGCGAGAAGGAATCGCAACCGAAAACGAGAGAATGCTGAGACGGGTCAGAAGAGAGTTAATCCATGGGGGAAAGAGAGCTACCAGGAGTTGATTGCACGAGCTATAACAAGTTCTCCAAATGGTCGATTGCGTCTCAGCGAAATTTATGAATGGCTTATAAGGAATACTCCATATTTTCGCGAGAGAGCAGGTAGTGAAGCAGCTCGTGGTTGGAAGGTACTTTTTTTTTTAATTGATATTAATTAAGTGGATGTTATTCCATGAATAAACGCTAAGTAATAAATAGTGAGGTAAATTGCACATATTCAGGAACGGAAGCTCCAGTACACAGAGGAATTGAGGTTAAGACGTTTCCATTCATTAAGCTGATTACTATGTAGCATTTATAAGAAATTAGTCTGTTTTGCAGTATCAAAATTGTGGATGGTGACTATACAAGGATAACTGATAAAACTGTAGCACAGAACGGTCTATGGTTTTGTGGCTGTCCAGAATTCAAGTGCGGGGTGTGTAATGAAAAATAGGATGAAAGTTAAAGTCAGTGATTACTGGGATAGCACCAGCGATGCGTTAGACCGAATTACACCCTTCAGAACAATCTCTAAAAAGAAAGCGAAAATGAGGAAGAGGAGGAAATAGCCTTTTTATAGAAAGCGAGTGAGTAGTGCACCAATTTCTTGACCGATAGGGCTAATAAGCAGACCAAGCGATTTGGTACAATCAGATAATCAGAACTGAAGTGAGTTTTCCTCGTAGCTTATCCGCAGTTCTTCCTCTTTCTCTACGCATTTCTTTCTCACCAGACCTTATGCGGAATTAGTTTGTCTATCAGCTTTGCGATAAATTGATTCAGTGCATCAGTCTACTTTGCCTCATACAAAAATAATCTGCCTGTTCATTGTTCCACGTGCCCATTTGGTCGGTTCTTTCTAGTCATTCGGAATCCGGAGTTAGATAGATTCTTGGATGCCTTGCTTGCGCATTTACCTTGTTTTACAGGATGAACCATTCGAAGCTAACCAAATACTTGCCTGTTCCAGGCGCAGTGCACAACAAAATTGACTTTCCAAAAGTTATTCTAGAAGCAATTTTCGCATCCTGCCCAGGAGTCCTTTTGCCAGTAACATTAATTATCTCAGAGACAGGATGTGGTCAGTACACTTCTCTGCCATTGTCCATTTCTTCCTTCAAAAAGAAAAAATAGCTAACTAACATTACGCATCTCCGTTCGATTTTAATTCGATCATGTTTGAAATAGCTGTATTTCGCCTATGGTGTTCGGCCAACGAGCGTTGCAAGGTCAAAGAAACTGAGTTAAAATTTTCCCAATTTTTTAAAATCTTCCTGTGATACTGTACTAATGATTCCCATTCGTACTCCCACGCTGTGCTCTGTCTGTGTTTATTGCGCAGGGATTAAACCTAGAATGCTTCTCAATTTAAACATCATACGATCGTTCTCTTGATTCTTATCTTAATATTTCTTTCTTAACAATCTCCTCAATTTTTTTGCTCCATTTTTTTTTTTTCATTTTCTTCCCTATTTCATGAATTTCTTTTTCAACACTTTTTTTTTTGTTTCTGTGTGTTGTCAAGAGTGCGTCTGTATATGTATGTATGTATGTA